CCGCTAGTCCAGGCAAGAGGCAGCTGAAGCTGGATGGAGGGTGATGATGAAGTGGAAAGGAAGGGATGAAGAACAGGGCAGGCTGCCTGCAGTGGGGGGACAGATGAGAGAAGGAAAATGGGATAGGCTGGTTTTTTTTCCTGAGGGCACTGGGTCTGCTTTATCGACCAAGGGAAGACCCGAGAACTCTGGGTGGCAATTTTTTCCTGTAACTAATCACAGACTTTTCCCACTGGAAAAGAAAAGAAGGAACATATGTTGCTGGGAGGAGTGTAAAACTGGGGGTGAGGTGAAGGGATCTTATTTTAATTTGTCAGTGAGTCATTGTTTAGTATGCACCAAGGAACCTGTTTCTGCTCACACTGAAGAAGCATATCTTGGGGGTAGTGGTACCCCCAGTGTGAAGGGTGAGACTCTGAGCCAACCCCAAGGCAGGAGGCAGGACAAAGAGACCTGAGATCTCCTCCTTGCCATGGATGTCTACTCCTGGGAGACGTGCTACATTTTCTCAACAGAGGTAGAGTAGAAGGAGTCAGACCTTTATATAACATTTGTGTAACATTTGCTTGCACAGAATTTTTTATATATTTTTTTCTTTTTCTTTTATTGCTCCAAACAGATTCCATTTTGTTTATTATGCAAAACAACATACAGCAGCATGAAAACGCTTACAAAATTTCACCTGTAGTTCCACCATCTTACCTTAACCATGTTTATTTCTTCCAGTTCTCTTTCCATCTTTATCTGTAGGCGTATACATTTAGTCAGGCTCTTGTGGAAGACAGAAACTCTGGAATATTAGCTTTGTACTGATTAATAGCACTTGCACCAGTCTGGGCGGCAGGTGCTGGCCAGTGGGCTTTCCTGCTTCTATTAGATGAGGATGACCTCCTGACAGCCAAGTCAGGGCGAGGGAGAGAGAGAGACCTCACCAAAGAGACAGATACTGATGTTCTGCCCAAGGTGGCTCTGGTGTGTGCATATTACTGAGACCCTTATAGGGGAAGCATGCCAGCAGTGAGCCACAGTGTGCCATCTACCTGCAGAGGCACATGAAGGGCGTCTGCGTGCTTTTACCCTTCCTGCATCTGTGTAGGCTGTGTCTTCCTTCTGCCCACCCTTCAAGGCCCACTCAGTGCATATATGTCACTGCCTCTGTGGCATCCTGGCTAGCGGCCCCCTCCTGAACATACCTGAGCCATTAGAAGAGGAGCTTCTAAGGGTAAGGACAGGGTCATTCTTCATCTCAGAATCCTTGACTCCTAGTCAATACATCAGCATATAGCAGATGGCTCAGTACATGTGGATGGCCATGTGCATCAGATGACACATCTGAGTGGTCACTGGGGATGCAAGAGAATCTCAGCATGCATTTGTGGATGTGGCTTACGGGAAAACACACTGCATTGTGATAGAAAGGCTATCATGTCAGTGGACAAGGAAAATAATCTGTCACCTATTCTTCTTTGTCCTATGAATTACACCTCAGAGCATCCAAGTAATTGGTGTGGGGAAGTTTCACCTTTTAAAATATCCCAGCTAGGCTGGGCACGATGGCTTACACCTGTAATCTCAGCACTTTGGGAGGCCGAGGCGGGCGAATCACAAGGTCAGGAGTTTGAGACCAGCCTGACCAACATGGTGAAACCCCGTCTCCACTAAAAATACAAAAAATTAGCTGGGTGTGATGGTTCATGCCTATAATCCCAGCTACTTGGAAGGCTGAGGCAGGAGAATCACTTGAACCCAGGAGGTAGAGGTTTCAGTGAACCAAGATTGTACCGTTACACTCAAGCCTGGGCAACAAGAGTGAAACTCTGTCTCAAAAAAAAAAAAAAAAAAATCCCAGCTAGTAAATAAAAAAGGAATGATAGGCTGTCACTATGTGTAGTCTCTGATAATTAATCTAGCAGAGATCATCAGTGGCAGCTCACATCATAAGAGAGAGGCAGCCAGATATTCTGGGCCTCGAGGCAAAAGTGCACAGTACCACTTAGGAAGAAGAGTGGCCCAAAATTTGACCAAAATCTGCTCAAATCCCTTGATGTAACTTCTGCTTCTAAGTGCAGGGCACAGAAGAAGAACATGTTATATAATAAAGGGATGTAATCAGCGTATCCAGACTGTGTAAGTTTACAGGCCAAATGAATTACTTTCTTTAACAAATAATTTGCAAGATAAGGAGAGGTGAAGAGGAGAGTATACCTTAAAAAGGAATTAAGAGACATAACGTATGACAATGTAGGGACCACAATTGAGTCTTTTTTTTTTTTTTTTTTTGAGGCAGAGTCTCACTTTGTCTCCAGGCTAGACTGCAGTAATGCAGTCTCGGCTCACTGCACCCTCCACCTCCCAGGCTCAAGCGATTCTCCTGCTTCAGCCTCCCGAGTAGCTGGGACTACAGGCACACACCACCACGCCCAGCTAATTTTTGTATTTTTAGTAGAGATGAGGTTTCACCATATTGGCCAGGATGGTCTCAATCTCTTGACCTTGTGATCTGCCGACCTCGGCCTCCCAAAGTGCTGGGATTATAGGCGTGAGCCACCACGGCCAGTCCGAGTCTTGTTTTGAACAAACTTAAATTTTTTTTTTCTTTGAGGCTCCTGTCGCCCAGGCTGGAGTGCAGTGGTGCCATCACAACTCATTGCAACCTCTGCCTCCCGGGTTCAAGTGATTCTCCTGCCTCAGCCTCCCGAGTAGCTGGGATTGCAGGCATGTGCCACCATGAGCATCTAATTTTGTATTTTTAGTAGAGATGGAGTTTCTCCCTGTTGGTCAGTCTGGTCTCAAACTCCCGATCTCAGGTGATCCACCTGCCTCGGCCTCCCAAAGTGCTGGGATTACAGGTGTGAGCCACCACGCCGGCCTTATTTATTTATTTATTTTCTTTTGAGACAGAGTCTCACTCTGTTGCTTGGGCTGGAGTGCAGTGGTACGATCTTGGCTTACTATAACCTCCGCCTCCTGGGTTCAGTAGATTCTCCTGCATTAGCCTCCTGAGTAGATGAAACTACAGGCACATGCCACCACACCTGGCTAATTTTTGTATTTTTAGTAGAGGCGGGGTTTCATCATGTTGGCCAGGATGGTCTTGATCTTCTGATCTTGTGATCTACCTACTTTGGGCTCCCAAAGTGCTGGGATTACAGGCATGAGCTACCGCACTTGTCTAAAAAAAAAAAAATTTTGAGACAATTGAGGAAATATTTTACATTAGAAAAAATTTTTAAACATTTATCTTTTAGAGATACTGAAATGTTTATGGATGAAACAGTGTGTGAGTTTTGCTTCAAAATAATTAGTGTGGCTAGGCAGGGTGTATGGATGAAACCAGCATGGCTCTAAAGATATAATTTTGGTGAGGGGTATATAGGGGTTTATTATCTTGCCCTCTTTACTTTTGTATATGTTTGCATTTTTTCATAATGTGAAAAAAATTTTAAGGGAGAGTGCAACAGGTTACTATGGAAACAGATTTTTGCTTTCCTGGTATGTGATTACTTCTCGTTCAGTAACCAAAGTGTCAGAATTTAAGATAAGAAAAGTGTTGCAGATTGGATTTTCAGGGAAGCAGAATAATATGGGGTATAGCATGTAGGATGCTTATTAAAGAGAGCCCTTGGACTCAACACCTATGGGAGGGGTGGGGAAGAAATCGGAGTGGGTGTAGAGAGAAGCTGGACTGCAACCCAGACCCAGTGACAGCCTCAGGAGATCCCACAGGAACAGCCTAAAACATCCTTCAGAGATGTGCTACGTTGGGCCACCAAACACACGTGTGCATGCACACACACACACACACACACACACACACACACACACACCATATTCATTTGGAATGGCAGCCCGTGCATCTGGGGCTGTCCCTGAAGGGGCTGACAACTGAGATGGAGCCTCCTGGACCGCCCTCCCAGTGCTGGGTCAACAACAAGGCCATGGTGGAGGGGTCTGGGCCCTGCCTCACACTGTCCATCACAGAAAGTAATACATATTATAGTAATAATTAAGCACTTAAGACTGTAATGTGAGCCTTCTGAAACCTAACAAATAATGAAACAATGATATATTAAAGCAATGTGATTTAATCTACAATAAAACATAGTTAATTTTAGAACAGAAAAAAATTAGGAAAATAAACATGAAAGCATTCATGTATATCAGAACCAAGATGGGATAAGATGTCATAAGAAAACTATTTGTCTTGTGTTAATGAGATAATGTCTGTTAGTTTGATTTGGAGAGTGATGTAACTGTACCTTTGAAAGATTAACGTATAATTCCCTTCAAAATACGTAGAGAATTAACACACTTTCCCCTGTTTAGTTTTTGGTTTTTTTATTTTTTGTCACCCAGGCTGGAGTGCAGTGTCACGATCTCGGCTCACTGCAACCCTCTGCCTCCTGGGTTCAAGCGATTCTTGTGCCTCAGCCTCCCGAGCAGCTGGGATTATAGGCATGTACCGTCATGCCTGGCTAATTTTTGTATTTTTAGTAGAGATGAGGTTTCACCATATTGGCCAGGCTGGTCTCAAACTCCTGACCTCAAGTGATCTGCCCGCCTCGGCCTCCCAAAGTGCTGGGATTACAGGTGTGAGCCACCATGCCTGGTCATTAATGCAGTCTTAACATTCACAGTGTGCTTTTGCTGGTATATTGAATAAAAATAGAGAAAAAATATTTTTGCAAGAACTTTAAAAATGGTGTCCACGAACAGAGTCACTTAAACCATGTCAGTTCCCTTTTTAAGGTCATATATAAGCACGAGGTACTGCCAGAATCCTTTTAAAATTGGGCTATTTTCTGATTTACTGTGGAGGACTGGTGATTGTTCAGCACAATGAATTAAATTAAAGGTATCATGAAGAAGTGGAAAGAGAAACAAGGCTGAATTGTGTGTTTCAAAGATGACAGCAACGAGGTAGCTGCATCTTGGCCAACATGAATCCTTCACCAGGGAGCTCTGAGCAAGCTGTCATCATGTGCTTTTCCTTCTTTCAGGTGCCTAGGAGAACAGCAGGCAGCTGTGCATGGTGGGAAAAGCTCCGCCCAACCGGCCGAGAGTGGTAGCGTTGCCATGACTCCCACCTACATGGACAGCCCACGAAAGGTAAAGGAGGCCACTGTAGCTGTAGCGGGGAGCTGTCCTGTGCTCTCAAAGACTCAGGGTGGAAGGTAAAGCAGATAGCCCTTCAGATCCAGGATTGCATGTCCTGAGGCTTTGGATGAATTCTACCCGGAATCCTTTGAAGGTTCTATTACTGTTACTATTTTTACCTAGGAGCTTTCTTGCTCACAGTTGTAAGGAAGCTAACTTCTAGTTAAACCCAGATATAAAATAGTCAGTCATGCTTGTAATCCCAGCACTATGGAAAGCCAAAGCTGGAGGATCTCTTGAGCCCAGAAGTTTGAAACCAGCCTATGCAACTTAAGGAGACCCCACTTCTAAAAAGTATTAAAAATAAAATTAGCTGGATTGGGTGGTATGTACCTGCAGTCTCAGCTACTCAGAAGGCTTAGGTGAGAGGATCCCTAGAGCCCAGAAGGCTGAGACTGCAGTGAGCCATGATTATACCTCTGCACTCCAACCTGGGTGACAGAGTGAGACCCTGCCTCAAAAAATAAAATAGAACAGTTAAGCTAAATCATGTTGGTCAATGCCCAAGATTTGGCCTGAGCTTTGCATTTGGCCATCTGGTTTTCCTTCACCCTTATCTTTAGCTTTCCCAGAAGGGAATAGAAAGCTACTGAAGCAGCTTCCACCAGAGCTCGCTCTTTGATAATGAAACTTCCATCAGTTTTCTCACTGCTGAGAAATACAGTCAAACGGGGGCATCTTGGGGTGGGGGGAAAATACCAACCAAAAACCTGAGACTTTAGACCTCTATCAGGAATAACTACAGTAGAGGAGCTGAAAACTCCATGGGTCTTTGAAGACCAATTGACTTGGCTCTGTTAGCTCCTTCTGGGAAATTCAGACTCTGAGATCATTTTGTTGTGATAGGGTAAGTTGACTGTACTTAACCACTCTCTTGTCTCTACCACTGGGAGACGAAAAAGATTCAATGCATATGTATTATTTTTCAAAATTTTGGTCAAATTATGTATCGGTGTTTGTTTTACCTCCATATCATGAAAATTTCTTGTGTCATTAAATGTTTTACAAAAGCGTGATTTTTAAAAATAACTATATTATTTTTTCTTTCCCTAAGCAACCCCAAAGAAAAAAATAGCTATATATCATTTCACCATATAAATATGCCTTAATTTATAACTTCTTTTGGTTAAAATTGTAGATGGTGATTTTTTTTTTTTTTTTGAGATGGAGTCTTGTTCGGTCACCAGGCTGGAATGCAGTAGGGCAATCTCAGCTCACTGCAACCTCCAACTCCCTGGTCAAGTGGTTCTCCTACCTCAGCCTCCTGAGTAGCTGGGACTACAGGTGCATACCACCATGCCCAGCTAATTTTTGTATTTTTAGTAGAGACAGGGTTTTACCATGTTGGCCAGGATGCTCTTGCTCTCTTGACCTCATGATCCGCCTGTCTTGGCCTCCCAGAGTGTTGGGATTACAGGCGTGAGCCACCATGCCTGACCAGATGGTGATTTTTCTATAAACCTTAAAAATTATTCTGTAGTATACCACAATTATAATGTTGCAGTTAATATACTTGCAAGAATTATTTGACCACACCTCTGATTAATTCCTTAGCATAAATTACTATAATTATACTACATGAGTGGAGGGATTAAAATCTGAGAAAAAATATCAGCCAAGGCCATGGGCAACTTGTAAACCAAAGGTCGGCAAACCTAAATGCATATTTTAGACTTTGTGGGCCAAGAGGCAAAATAAAAGCTGTTGTGTAAGTACAGTATTTCCATAACCATTTAAAATTGTAGAAACTGTTCTTTTTTTTTTTCTTTTTGAAACAGAGTCTCTCTCTGTGTCACCCAGGCTGAAGTGCAGTGGCACAATTTCGGCTCGCTGCAACCTCGGCCTCCTGGCTTCAAGTGATTCTTCTGCCTCAGCTTCCCCAGTGGCTGAGATTACAGGCATGTGCCACAATGCCCAGCTAATTTTTTGTATTTCTAACAGAGACAGGGTTTCACCATGTTGGCCAGGCTGGTGTCAAACTCCTGACATCAAGTGGTCCACCCACCTCAAGCTCCCAAAGTGCTGAGATTACAGGTTTGAGCCACTGCACCCAGCTGTAAAAAGCATTCTTAGCTCACTGGCTGTAAAAAAACATCAGGTGGCTGACATGATTTGGCCTGCAAGCTGTAGTTTACCAATCTCTGCTCTAGGGAGTGGCTTTAGGTACCAGGGATACTCTGTGAATAAGGAATGATCTGCTGACTATGAGTCTTCTCACCTGTCCTCCTTCATATGTACATAAACCTCAACACCATCAGCACCTCTGCTTCTATATGTTCTGGCAGAGAAGGGACACAATGGAACAATGAGACATAAATTACCCTGTGTGCTGTCTACCAGGTTTTGCCTCTACTTGTTGTCATCTTTGAGGATCAGAAACAGTGCCAATGACAAGACTGAAAACCAGCAAATTATAGTTTCAAATATATTAGATTGTTGTTTAGAACCCTCTCCTGATCGTCCAGGTGAACACTAAAATCTGCATGCATGGGCTGGAATTAAACTCCTGAATCATTAAGGGGAAACCAAATGCTATGAGATAGCCAAAGCAAAGAGCCCTGCTGACATGCTCAGAAATGCCCAACCGTGTCCCCAAGGAACACTTCATGTTAGAATGCGTGGGGGTACCTGCATCAGCATCTCCACAGCCACAGTTTTCAAGGTTTGGTATTTGAGTTTGCAGTCACTTACAGGAAGTGGCAGCAGTATCAATAAAATGGGCACCCAAATATTTCAGGTGAGGAAAAGTTGCAGAAAAGCAGAGAAGTTGAGATGTGTTAAGTGCCTTTCCTGAATTTCTATGATAACCAGGCATAAAAAGTAAAAGGATTCCAAAAGGACAGAGGATACTACTTAAGAATGATGGAGGGGTCATTGAAAAAGTCCCTTGTGTCATTTTTGTTTCACAGACTTGGCTGCTTGAATTCCACAAGGCTAGGATAGGGAGGGATTGACAGCTTTAGAAAGCCCCTTACAATGTGAGTGCTTGTGTATCTGACATTATATATGTCTTAGCTTGCTGATGATTTTGTTACACAACCAGTGGAGGAGAAGGTATGGCTGCTTCTGTACCCCCTGTTTGCCAAAAAAAATAAGCAAGAACTTATCCTGCATTGAATCCTCTCCTTCCACCTGGCTGCTATGTTGAGTAACGGGCAAAAAACACATCATACTTCAATATACCTCTCCAAGAGGGCGACTGGTCACCCAGCCAGGTGGGAGGTCAGGATGTTGACACCAAAGCCCTTACCCTGCAGTACCACCAAGCTGTTCTGTAGCCTTTTCATCTTCCTTGGCATAGTTCTGAAAGAATTTCAGAGCTATGTGGGAGGGTGAGAGCATCCAAGCCACGGTCTGAAGAGACCTGAGGGAGCTTGGATGCAGCTTCCAACCTGGGTGCTTTCTTCCACTCAGATGGGATATTCTGCCCAGGAAGGTATGAGTTTTTGCTGATGCTTTGCATTTGTATATTGTCTTTCTGGATGGATCTCTCTCTCTCTCTCTCTCTCTCTCTCTCTCTCTTTTAAATTTTCCCCATCCTCTTCATGTGTCCTTGTTTCTCTCCTTCTCTCCTTGTTTTTATTTTTATTTTTTGTTTTTCATACCCGTCTCCTTCCCCTGATGGTTAACCACTGGTACACATTCTGTTTCTTTGCTTCCTTGCAACTGCTGCTGCTGCTTCCTCCTCCTCTGACTTCAGGACGGGGCCTTCTTTATGGAGTTTGTCCGCAGCCCACGCACAGCATCGTCCACCTTCTACCCTCAGGTTAGTCCAACTCCAGGGCTCCACATGACTGTCCCATTGGCAGAAACCATGAGCTAGCCTCCTGTTAGGCTCTGAATACATGTATTGGGCTGCAACTGAGTTTGAGGGGCAATTGAAATTGAATTTGGTCTCAGAAGTGTACATTCCCTTCCACTTTGTGGCAGCAAAGGGGGAATGGAAGAGATTAATGTAGAAGAACACGATTGTACCAACAATGACTCAAGTGTTTCTCATCACTGTCTGTTTCACATAGTTGCCACTGATTCTCTGCCACTTTTCAGCATCTTCCCTTTTAGATTTTGTGAGCAACATGAAATATGCTTACTTAAGGGCTGAAGACTTATTTTTTACTCCTCCCAATACAACCAGATAAATTTATAACAGTGTGGCAGGAAGTGGTAAAAAACACATCAAATATTTATTAATAGTCATGTGCTCCTTCATAGCATAGGCTGAAGGTGTAGCTCACCTAGCTTCTGGATTTCGCTTAAATTATTTGTCAGTTAAAATATTTGGACCAGGCCGGGCATGGTGGCTCATGCCTGTAATCCTAGCACTTTGGGAGGCTGAGACAGGCAGATCACTTGAGGTCAGGAGTTCAAGACCAGGTGGGCCAACATAGTGAAACCCCATCTTTACTAAAATTACAAAAATTAGCTGGGCGTGGTGGCACATACCTGTAATTCCAGCTACTTGGAAGGCTGAGGCACAAGAATCACTTGAACCCAGGAGGCAGAGGTTGCAGTGAGCCGAGATCATGCCACTGCACTCCAGCCTGGGCGACAGAGCCAGACTCCGTCTCAAAAATAAAAATAATAAAATAAAATGTTTTAAAATGAGAAAATAAAAAGATGTTTGAGTGGCCGAGCTCCTACATCATTCTGCCACTGCACTGGGAGGGTAAGGGTTTAGTTAACTTTGAAACAGGTCAGAGGTGCTGTGCCTTTCTGTGTAGGTCTTCAGATATCCGCACCTGCCTCTTTCCAGTCAGCTGTGTGACCATAGGCAAATCCCTGTGAGGAACTTTGAGTCCTGATCTAAGCATCTCTAAAATCTGAGTGTGGGGAGTACACTACATTTTTGGTTTAAAAACAGACATTGGTTGATCCTTTTTACCTTTTACTTTCAGTATCTTGCTCTATTGTCCAGGCTGGAGTCCAGCCTCAGCTTCCCGGGTAGTTGGTACTATAGACATGAACAACCATACCCAGCTAATTTTTTATTTTTTATAGAGATGGGGTCTTGCTATGTTGCCCAAGCTGGTCTTGAGCTCCTGGTGTGAGCCAATGTGTCTGGCCATTAACGTTTGCCTTTTTTTTTTTTTTTTTTTTTTTTGAGACAGAGTTTTGCTCTAGTCACCCAAGCTGAAATGCAATGACACAATCCTGGCTCACTGCCACCTCCACCTCAAAGGTTCAAGGGATTCTCCTGCCTCAGCCTACCAAGTAGCTTGGATTACAGGCGTGCACCACACCCAGCTAATTTTTGTATTATTCAAGAAGGGATTTCACCACGTTGGCTGGGCTGGTCTTGAACTCCTGACCTCAGATGATCTCCGCACCTTGGCCTCCCAAAATGCTGGGATTACACACGTGAGCCACCGTGGCTGGCCACCTTTTACTTTCTTACAGGAGACTATTAAAGAAAGTTTTAGACTCAGGAGAGGCACATAAATAAAGATTATATTACCTACCAGGTGTTTCGTTGAAAAGGTGGGAAGTGAAGCAGGAAGATCACTTGAGCCCAGGAGAACAAGGCCAGCCTGGACAATATCAGAAGACCCTGTCTCTAATTTTTTAAAAAAATGTATACATTAAAAAAAAAACTACCTTAGAGGTAGCAAGAGCTCTCTGTACATACACAAAGTTAACTTGTACTTTTTCTTTATGTTTATTTGGTTTATTATTTATTGTGGTAAAATATACAGAATATAAAACTTGGTTCGTGTATTTTCTGATGTACAGCATAGAATAGAAGAAGGAGGCCAATGGAGTCAGATGGCTGCCTTCAAATCTTGGATTCTATACAATGCCAGGGAGTTGTGTTAGGCACATGAATTAACCTTCTAAACCTGTTTCTTTATTTAAAAAAAATATTTATTTATTTATTTGTGTGTGTGTGTGTGTGTGTGTGTGTTCATTTGTAAAAGGAAACAAAAAATAATTTATTTGTAGGGTTGTTTTGAGGATTAGAAATAATACCCATTTCTCAACAAATTTCAAAGCAGTGAAATTACAGAGCATATTTCTGACCACAGTGCAATTAAGTTACATGTTAATGACAAAAAGATAACTAGAAAACCTCTATACGTTTGGAAATTAAATAACACTCTTCTAATCATGAAAGTGGCAGGAATGATATATGTAAACAGCTAGTATGGTCCTGGGTATGTGGTGGGGACACAATAAACACTAGTTGTGATTAGGGTAAATGTTACTGCTTTGCCAGATATTAATGTCAGTCAGTTTAGTGCATATCATTGTCCACTCCCTATTCCTGCCGCCTCTTCTCTCCACCCTAATCCAAGACAAGAAATCACAGTGAGTTTGTAATGAGACAAAGGGGCTACATGTTAAAAGACTGTCAGAGAGTAGGCTTTGGTGTCAGGCTGCCTGCCACTCTATAGACTGGTTGTAAACCCTTTGCCAATTGGACTATCCTCTCCCAACCTCAAGTTTCTCATCTGTAGAATGGGAGTCATAACTGTGTTCTCCTTATAGGGTTACTGTAAGAGCCAAATGGGATGAAGCATCTTTGTGGTTAGCTCAGGCCCTGGCAGAGTAATTTACTATACATGTACCTGTGTGTAGGGGTGCAAAGCAGTAAACAGGCTTAACTGGGCCAGTTAACTCTTTTCTCTGGAATGTATATATAAAAATGGGCCAGAACTAGGTGACCTCTCCTATCCATTCTAGTCCTAAAGTTCTATGATGACCTTGGAGCTTGGCAAGGAGGTAAGTCCTCCATCCCTGTCTGAGTCTAGGGAGGACATCACTCCAAACTCAAATTCTGCTAAGGGAAAGAAATACCTATAGCCACCACCCCCAGCTAACTTTTGTATTTTTTGTAGAGACAGGGCTTTACCTTGTTGGTCAGGCTGGTCTTGAACTCCTGGTCCCAAGCAACCCACCCACCTCAGCCTCCCGAAGTTCTGGGATTATAGGTGTGAGCCACTGCACCCAGCCCAGGGTCTACCCTTTGAAGTGAAATCTGATTATGTCATCCCTGATTAAACCTTTCTGTGGCTTTCTTTCCTTTAGGATAAAGGCTGAAATCTTTATAATGGCCTAAAAGGCCCTTCATGATCAGGTCCCTGCCTCCTTTTCTGACCTCATATTTTGCCATCCTTTTCCTCACTCTTATGTTCCAGTGACCTCTGTAGGCACAGGCTTCCTCCTGCCACTGTGCCTTGGCACATGCTGTTCCTGCCAACTGTGCGTAGTTAATCCCTACTCATCTAGTCACATCCTATGGCATGGACTTGCATAGTTCCAGTACCTCTTTTCATAGCACTTCTCACAGTTCTAATTTGCATTTATATGACTGGGATATAGTTAATGCTCACTGTGCGTACGGGACACTGAGCTCCAAGAAGGCAGCTGCCATGTCTGTTTTGCACAGTAACCCAAGCCTTGGCACTTAAGAGGTGTTCGCTAGGGGCGGTGGCTCATGCCTATAATCCCAACACTTTGGGAGGCTGAGGTGAATGGATCACAAGGTCAGGAGTTTGAGAGCAGCCTGGCCAACACGGTGAAACCCCGTCTCATGCCACTGCCCTCCATCCTAGGCATCAAAGCAAAACACCGTCTCGAGAGAAAAAAAAGTTCAGTAAATACTACCTCTGAGATATTTATGGAGAAGACAGACACAGAAAAGTTTATTTTAAACAATAGGACCTTTTTCCCCCTCATTGATTATTTTATTTACTTTTTTTGAGATGGAGTCTGTTTCTGTCACTCAGGGTGGAGTGCCATGGCACAATCTCAGATCACTGCAACCTCCGCCTCCTGGGTTCAAGCGATTTTCCTGCCTCAGCCTCCCACAGTGCTGGGATTACAGGCGTGAGCCACCGCACCAGGCCCCTCATTGATAATTTTAAACCAAAAGCACACTGCATCTTTGGTTTAAAACAGACATTGGTTGATCCTTTTTACCTTTTACTTTCTTTTTTTTAGAGGCAGTATCTTGCTCTGTTGTGCATGCCAGAGTCCAGCCTCATATAACAAACCCTGAAATATAAAATGTGGAACCATTCTGGTTTAAGTATGTGGGGAGAGGAGCTGGAAGACAACTGTGCCCCAGACAGTTGCACCACGTATAGCCTCATGGTCACTGGGTTCAGCAGGATACACTTTGGGACAACACTGATTAGATTGGAGCAGCAATTTTCAGCATGTTTATGGGGTCATGGAGGGAGTTTTCTGGAATCTGAGGCAATGTGTCCAAAAATGTACTTTTTTTTTTTTTTGAAACAGTCTTGCTCTGTCACCCAGGCTGGAGTGCAGTGGCATGATCTTGGCTCACTGCAACCTCCGTTTCCCATGTTCAAGTGATTCTTGTGCCTCAGCCTCCCTAGTAGCTGGGATTACAGGCGCCTGCCACCACACCTGGCTAATTTTTGTATTTTTAGTAGAGAAAGGGTTTTGCCATGTTGGCCAGACTGGTCTTGAACTCTTGACCTCAAGCAATCCTCCCGCCTCAGCCTCCCAAAGTGTTGCAATACAGGCCTGGCCAAAAATTGACTTTTTACCCTTTGCTCTGTTTTCCCTCTTCAAGAAAATGAACAAAACACTCCTGTCCCCAGGGGCTCAGTCCCTCCAGAGGACTCCAGAGACCCAGTGATCAACCTTCGCCCTGATCTAAACTCTCCACTCTCAGTCAGGCTTTTATCAGACGTCTGTGTGCAAGGATCAGGATGGATTACCTGAAGGACATTTAGTCTTGTCACAAATGTCCCAAAAACGTGTTTGGCTTTGCTGTGTTTTTAAAATTTTTCAATT